TCTCCGGTCGGCGTCGCCCGGGCGGTTCTCTCCCGCGAGTCGTGATCCCGACGCCCGTTCAGTGACTAATAAAACCTCGGACTTGCGTTATTAAACGGCTACTAACCGATCCGCCGCCGTGGCACTACGCCGACATACACACACACACACACACACACACAAACAAACAAACAAACAACACACAAACGTGCGCGCGCCGACTCCGCAAGTCGTTTTATGTTAGTGTATGATAATAATATATTATTATCGTTTGCTCGTGTGTCCGAACCAGTGTCATTGCAAGTCATCTCACCGTCGGGGCCCGACGTGCCGAAACGGACTTCCACCGCTTCCGGTCCCATCAATTTGACTGCTGTTCTTGTTCCCGACCTGCACTGCCGAGAAGGTGAATACTCACAAATGTTKTTTATTATTATTATTATAAAGTGTTTCTGACATACAAGGTCATCAAACTTATTGATAACTCACTAATGTAAAAATTTAAAATTAATAGTCCGCGGCGATTTGGTATTTTTTTTAATCGAGTTTGTTCTACCTCAACTACGGTCTTGCCAGAAAAATATCCGTGTCTTACGCGATCATACTTGAAYATGTCTTACATAGAACATGAGGTTTTCCACGAAAAACTAGTGAAATATCTGTACAAACATAATTACTTAAGTACTTATTAATTTATTATAGGTACTTTCTCAAAAAGACTTAAACGTATGAATAACATTTTGTCAGATTTTATTGTCTCACWGATTTATGTTTGAATTATTTTTTTTGTTTTCAATACGACTGGTTAGTTTTCTTTTGTAAAAAGCCATTTATAGGATTTAAGACTTAGACTATGTTCTGGGTAGTAAAAAAAAAATATTATATGAATATGTAGCTAGCATATTTGCATATACACCTTCCACGCAACAATTGTTGATTTATTTAACTAAACTTTTCGAAAAATCACAATATGGAGGGTTGCGACTAGGAAAAAATATGATTTTTTAATTAATTAGGGATTAGTAATAGATATTTTTCTTGAGATGGRAAATAAAATATTTTCACTAAGATGAAATATTGTATCTATTGTTATAAACTCTTATTTTTTTGAAAACACAATAAAGTCCTAAATACTTGACATTTGAATCATGTTGTATATAATTTATATAATTTATACCATGGTCTATGATGAATATCGATTTCTTTAGATAATCTACTATAATATATAAGATTGTTTAATTCAAGAATTTCTAATAAATTATTATSAAGTTCAAGTTCATTAGTGAATGTCGTTTACAAGGTAAATTCTTTCGTTACGTATTGTTTTGGTTAGGTAATCAACTCGTAGTATTTTTTCAATGCGTTCTTATCATTAAATTAAAAAGCAATGATGAACCAAATTTTTTATGGATTAAATAAAATTAAATAAATGTAGGTAAATATAAAAATTAAATTAATTAATTATTGAATTATTTATTTATCTATTTATTTATCAACAAAGAAAGAAAAACATTATATGAATTAGCACAATTAACAGAACATTAAAAGAACATTAATAGACAATTGATTATAATAAAAATTACAAGTTACAAAGACAGAATTTTAGTATATAAAACAAAACTATAAAATACATAATTAGGCACTATGCTTTAAACATAATAAAGTTTTAGCTTTAAATATTTGACGAGACAAAACGAAAAAATCTAAGACTGTGGAGATTCTATTGGCGTTAAAAATGGCTCTTGAAAAAAATGAATTTTTTCCTCTATTTGTATTAAAATTAGGTACACGGMAATATCAGAATTTTGTGTATACCTACTAGGGATTCTAAATCCAATTAAATTTAAAATAGCTGAGGAGCTTTTATTATTATTTAAAATATCATAGACAAACATAACATCTATTTAATCACGCCTGAAGTTAAGAGAGCCAATACAAATTAAACATAGATAGTCTTGAACCAAAAGAAAAGAGTTTTTAGATATACTACAATGAATAATAAAGGTAACTGTTTTCAGAAATTTATACTGAATATTATTAAGCCTATTTGAGTAAGTTGAATAATTATTAGACCAAATTAAAGAGCCATATTCTAGGTTTGATCTATCTAAATAATTATACAAATTTTTTAAACATATATGTACAYTTATTTGGTTTAATAGGATGACAAAAAGATAGCTACCTAATTACAAAATTGTTTTTAATTACAAATATTTGACTAATGGTTATAGGTTATACAAATAATTCAGTATTTAATTGTATACATATTGTTGCATATTTTGAATAATTGAAAGCCTAGACTACCTATTTGATAAACATTTACAGTTTGAAAATAATTTTTATTTGTACATTAAAATTATCAACAAATTCTTGTAGGGTAGAATATTCATCATTGAAATACAAAAGCCTATTGTCATGAAGATTCTATATGTGGATACGTGACAGTCGACACTCAAGTTTAATTTTCTACTGTATTGTCCGATGTTAAATCTACTATTGGAAACGAATGTGCACAAAACAAATTAAATCAAACACAAAAACGAACCCCTCTAATTGGCGTAACCTGGAAATTTCCAGAGTCAACGAGATCGAGAATTCTTTTTCTTTTTCTTTTTTTTGGTGGGAATAATATGTTACAGTTACAGAAATAGAAAGTACTTTCACCGTTTCCGCGCTTCAATAACCGCGTGAACCTACCAACGAATTTTCGTTGCACCGTATCCTTTCTCGAACCATCTGAATGTTGTCTTGCACAGTGACACGTGGGTCGCGAACAGTATCGGAGTGTTAACGATCAACACATTTTCAGATTTTATATTACATTAACTATTAAAACTCATAACGAAATAAAAATATTTATTTTTTTTTAAATTATCCTATGACCTCACAATAGTGCGTTACAAAATTTTACACTAACTATACAATCACGGACGTACATAAAGGTAATAAATTATTAAGTATAAACGAAATTTTGAAAAATTAGTCACAGGTCATTATAAAATAAAACAACTTTATGAAAGTGAAATGATTAAAATGTAATTTAGTGATACCTAGTCATTAGTAGGTATCGTAATTGTGAATGATGAGATGGAAAGTAGAAATGTTTTTTTTACACTTACCTACTAGTAACTTATTAGTAGATGCACTTAAAATTATTTTGACGCCCATCATTCGACATAGACCAAATTACTTTTAATAATTATAGTTATAATTTTCATTTCCATAATATAATTTAGATATACATATTTGATTTTAATACATTTATTTATTTTTTGCAGAACATAGCTGAAGGATTGGTTTCAAAGGATGTCAACAATTTTTTATCAGATACCGGTCTAATAAAAAAATGTTTACAATGTATATCTGGGTTGCTGCCGTATTGCCGGTGATCTTAGTATCAGCCAATACAGAATCACGGTCCTACAACTCAGCGCCAAACACACAAACTAATTATATAATCACATCGAAACCATTCACCGTTAGAGATGATGCAAACGCGGGGACAATAAAATGGAGGCGTGACACGATAACCGGAGCATCACTTATCGGGGCATCAGATCCAGCCAAAATGAAATATTCAATAGAGTGTACGGATAACAACGAGTGTGCGGGGATTGAATTGGGAGGATCTGATGCCACATTTAAACCGTACACCCAGGATGAATTAAACCGAATACTTAAACGTTATGGCGAAGCAGACAGTGAGTCAGAATCATCCGATAAGATAATATCGTACGACGAAAGTGGCAATCAAGATAAATCCAAGGCTTCGTGGAATTCAGTAGATCCACAACAGGGTCCGAAAAACCCGTACGACGATCGACGTGGATGGGTCACTTTGGAACCAATGGCTTGGTCGTCGTCACATATCCAGAAATGGGAGCCAAACAATCGCCCAACGTGGCCACCACCACCTCAAGACCATACACAAGCCAGCTATTCTCCATGGGCCAGTAACAGGCCTATACAACGACCCAGTAATAATTATCATCAGCCGCATCAACCACATCAGCCACAACAGCAGCAATCTGAATGGACTACTGAGCGCCCTTGGATTCGACCCACTTATGATTATTCGTCCAAGCCATCACAAGTGTCTAATTATCAAAAACCTTCGGCACCTCATAACTCACAAAGCTATTATGGATGGAACAATGCAGAGCAAGATATAATCACGGATGGAAAACCTGGACAATTTCCTGCTGATGCTTACCACAAACCATGGAACGGTGACTATGGACAGACATCTTATGGTGGCCCRAGACCCACAGAAACTGAAGGGGATGGACAATGGGTGCTTTTATCCAGCACTAAAGGTTATTCTATCCCACATCGACCTAATAGAAGTCTTCAAGGAAGGTCAGTATCCATAGACACGGTMAACAGTCCAATGGAAACTGTGAGTAGATCAGATGAAGTTACTGGTCGATCAGCGGATACGGTTAGTCGGCCGATATCTTCCAAGAGAACTGTGCGATTAATGGTTTTACCACCAGATAAAGATTCGCAAAATGTGACTACATCACACAATGGCATGATCGAAGTAGATGTTTCAAGGAAATCTGTGGATCAAGAACAAAGGGAGTTCGCAGCTAGAGCACTAAAAGAAAACGAAAATAATGTGCAAGTGTTTTCCGACAGGTCAACAAAATCCAACGACGAGCGAAGAGCTATGTTGGCTGCAGTAGGCGCTGGAATGCTACCAGCTGCTACCATGGCAATGTTCCTGCCTGTGATGGTTAACAGAAAACGCAGGGATCTCACGACCAGACCAGAAGTAGTACTGCATCATCACATATATCCTAGATAATTATTGATTCTAAAATGACCTGTAATTTCTTTTCTTTAATTGTCACCTTTTTGCGTTCCGCTCAATGTTTATTTGATGTCGTTGCCAATACCTTTAATACCTTTTGAGCACTGTTATGTAACTACACGATAATTAATTATTTATTTATTTAATGTAATATTTTAAATCCAGTTGTATTTTATTTATTTATTAAGTGCTTACTGTATATTGTAATTTGATACACAGTATCACATTTTATTTTATTTTAAGTAAACATTTTGGGTAAAAGTGAAATAAAAATAAGCACACATTGTATTTATTCGATAAATAAAACACTGTATATTGTTACGTATAAAAAAATATAAAATTTAAATTAATATTTACAGACAGGTACATATTATGTGCTGTTATATAATATTAGCAATGTACCAATTACTTAAGCTTACAATATGTATTTAAAATATTTCATATAAATACATATTATTTTATTTTCTCTCAAAAACATATTACAAATCAATTCAATTTACAATATGTTTATAGATCCCAAAACTTGATCATAAAAAAAAATCCATAGAATATTGTATGGACATTTTTTAGTTAAAGTTTTTAGTCTTGAAAATATTATAAGAGAAATCCCCCAGTTCATTGTACATTCCCATCATATCACCAATCTTATTTTAACTCCACTTAAAAGTAACTAATTTGAATAAATTCTATGTCTAATTGATCTTCGTTGTCGTTTATCATTGGATACATTAGAATCTGACTCGGAATTTTGTTCCTGTTTGTTCTCTGGCTGTTGTCTGTCGTTGGACTTTTGTAGATTCCTAACCATATGTGTCATTTTTCTCTGTATAGCATTTACATATTGCGTGAAACTAGCTGCTGTGTTTTTTAAGATTTCAATTCCCATTTTCAATTTGACTTCAGCTACTTTTCTTAAAAGATCTATTAACGAAAACTGGTTGTTATTCACAGTAGGCGATTCGGACGAGTCAGGTATTTTGGTCGAAACAGTTGACGTAGATGTGGTGGTAGAAGATTCGATATCATCAACTGTTTGATTTTCAGCACTCTTATCAACAGTAGTTTTGGTAGGATTAATTGTAGTTTCATCAGGTAATTGAGCATCAATTTCATTATGTTCGTCTACTTGACGCCTTATTCTTAAACTACGAGGTCCGTGTTCCATTTTCATAGTTTGGTGTACATTAACAGATATTTGTTCAGGGTTTATACTTTGTTCATAGAATTTTGGAATACCTTGAAGTGCAGAAAACGTTGGATCTGATGATGACGTGGTAGAACTTTCTTTTTCATCAATTCGGTGATTATCAAAATTATAATTTACAGCTACAGCTTCTTCTTTAGGTACATCTTGAACATATCCTGGGTACTTCGGCGCTTCAAAAACAGATTGATCTTCTTTATACACTCCCTTCATCTGTGAAGTACTCTGATACTTAGGTTGTTCGTAAGCGTTGGATGAATCAAACTTGAGTTCATCATAATGGTGATTTTGGTAAGTATCATCTTGGCTGTCTTGTGTCTGTTCAAATGCTGGTCCCTCAGATGCATCTGAAGGAGTATATGGTGCCTTATCTTGAGTAGCACTTACATCAATTGTCGAATACTTCGATGTATCTGGAGCTGAATATTTATTAGTGTCAGGGGGCGAATATTTAGTACTCTCGACAATCGTGTATTTAGTTCCATCGTGTGTAGAATATTTAGTTGTATCGGCTGTTGCGACATATTTAGTTACATCGTGAGCAGAATATTTATTAGTGTCATGGGAATTGTATTTCGGTACATCATGAACGGCAGGGTATTCAGATGGTTGATAAGATGACTTGTATTTAGGAACTGCGTCAGGACGTTCTCTACCATACGGATTATGACCATAAGACATTCCAGACAGTACTTGACCGAACACTTGTTCTTCTGGTTGAGAGTTGTCAGTTTCAGGAGGAACATAACCAGGACTATGCCCATGACTATGACCATGTACGTGAGAATCAGTGCGTCTTAATGGTACCATAGGTATAGCAGCTCCTCCTAATGGTGAATATAACAGTAACCCTGCTAAACCAGCAGTCAACATCAAACCAACTAAACCAACTCCAACATTGGGCATAACTTCACGAGCTAAATAATTATAAATTCGAGTTGATAATGGTCGACCTGGAGTTATTTTAGTACTCTGTTCATCGATTTTACTTTCAGCGTCATCATTAGAAACTTTAACAGGCTTACGCTTATTTTTATTCTTCTTCTTTTTCTTCTTTTTTAATGAAGTGTTTTGTGTAGTAGAATTACTCGATTCTGTGAGATTATCTACAATTTCAGTAACATTTAGATTTGAAACTGTTGTGGAAGACGTTGGTGTAGTAATAGTAACGGTGGGCACAGTAGTAGAAGATACTGCCATCGTATTATTTAAAGGTTTAGAAATAACAACGGCTGTAGAAGTTATTTTTGTTGTTAAAGGTTTTTCTGTTTTTTTAGTATTATTTGCAGAGGGCCTCTGTCTAGGTGGTACATGAGGAAATGTGACAACAGGGGTTCCAAATCTTGTATTATTGTCAAGGGGTGGTAGTTCAGAAAGAGGAGTGGTCACTTCTTCAACTTTTTCTTTAACTGTAGTTGTAATAGGGATTTTTCCAACAATAACTGGTGTCTTATTTTTAAATTTGGAATCTTGTAACTTTATCGGTGATTCGGTAACTGGGGAATGAGGTGTAGTCATTTTTTCRGTTGTAGGTTTTCTTTTTCTTGTAGTAGTTGTTTCATACGACTGTAAAAGTGAAGAAGTAGTTGTATCAGCCGGTTTAGGTACTTTTTTAATTGTAGCCATATTTAACGGTGCTGGTGAAGATTCACCACCCAATAAAATCCAAGTAGACAAATCTCCTGTTGGCCTTGTGGATCCATCTGATGATATTTTGTAACTGTAAGGGCCTACAGCATGTACATCTTCATCAGTTAACACAGGCACCGCTTCTCCTTTTACAGGTGATTCATTTTTTTGAACTGTTCTAATTTCTGAAGATACAACGACATTGCTAGATGTGGATGTTTGAAGAAGTTGATCACTAACTGACTTCACAGAATCATCCATCAGTGGCGGCTTAGTAGTGTGKGCCCTGGCATTCCCTGTATTAATAGCTGTCTCTGCAAATACAACGATCGGTGTTGTGTTTCGATCATCTTTCCTATAACAATAAATATAATTATTCAGTTTATTTAAAGATAATATACTTAAATAATAAGGATTTTAATGAAAAAAAGTCAGATTAAAATATTTTGAATCTATTTTATTGGTCTAGTTATTCCGTATAACAATATATTATACGCCTAAATTATTATAAATTATCCTAAAACGTATAACTTTATCATATTAATTTGTACAAATATATCATAATTATGACATCACAGCCTGGAAATTAAAACTAACTTTTAATAATAAATTAAAATAATCTAATTTAAAAAAGCAACGTAAATACAGTTAATTAAGATATACACCCATGATCGCTGAACACACGAACGAGGAAAAGGAAATAACTGTAATTAACAATAGTAGAATAATTTAAAAGAAACTAAATWATCAAATTCTTTACATAGTGACAATAATATTAGTAATAATATGGCTGATGGTAGTTATTTGTATTGTCAAAGCGGTGATCAAATTGATTTATATTAAACGCATGCGTGAGTTGACGACCAAACCATATCCTTGGCATTATCCAAGGGAACAAAAATGATATAACACCTAGACCACTGGTCAAAATAATAGACATAGGTGGAAAAATAATTGACCAAAAAGTTATCATCAATGGCCCAATAAAATTAAAAGAAGTGAACAAGTATAATAAGTCATCTAAAAATTGTATAAAACCAGAACTAGTTGGAGAAGTTGAAGTCGTTATTAACTCAGAACATACTTTTGAAGCAGTGCCACCCGCTCGGCACTGCGCTACGTCTGCTGGTGTTAGAGTTCCCACACCAACCCCTCCACCGCCCCCTCCCCCACCACCACCATTATCTACAGTTCCTCCAGCCCCTGCAACAGCAGCTGCCCCTCCAGCAATTCCGGCAATTCCGGCTACCCCAGCCGCTGCACCTACTGTAGCACCTACAATTCCAGCTGCACCACCAACCACTGCCGCAGTAGCCACACCAGAACCCCCTGCACTCCCTGGATCTTGTTCCACTACAGAATCACTTAACGGAGGTTCCATTGCCGTATCTATGTCTTCCAATATAACTATTGTTGGTGGAGGGTTCCCATCACTTAATGGTGCTTGAGTGACGGATATAGGTGTTACAAAAGTYGGACCTTGATATTCTATTGGTGTTATAAACGTAGGGGCTTGTAGTTCAATTGGTGTTATAAATGTTGGTGATTGCTCGTTAATATTAGCTGGAATGTTGTAATTTGGGTGATAATAGTTGGATGAGATGTAAGTTGGACGAATAGTAGATGGTTTTAGTTTGTCATTGGGAAAAATCAGGGGTGTTTCTTGCCAATTTTTATATGGGTCTTGCGTAGAAGTTTGAGTTTGATATATAGATCCAGATATAGAGTCGGAAGAAGATAAATCATACTTTGTAGGTTTTGGTTTTGGAATTTTCGAATAAGTTGGTACAGGCAAATATTGAATTTCGGGTTCATGTTTATATGACGAGTCGTGCTCCCCAATATTATGCATGAGAATAATTGAATCTAAAGAATCAGCACGGACTGGGTTTTGAAGGTTATTGATAGAGTAATTTATAAAGCTYTCTACTAGCCGACTATCTGATGATTTAGTTATGTTTTGTTTTTTTCTTTTAGTTGAGTTTAAAAGGAATTGGAAAAAAGGTCTTAGTGACGGATCGGGTTCAGCGTAACGGGTGTCTTCTTTATTGTTTATGACATTCGATGCGTATTGGTTTTTAGACGTGCTCAAGTAGCTTTCCATAAATTCCAAAGATCTCGGAGTGGCCGTAGTAAAAGCTGTATACCTGTTAACAAGATCATCTGTAACAAATAAAATAAAACAACATTACAAATTGAAATTAATGTTTGATCGTGTATATTTTGGAACAAAATGTTAGCGGAGTATAGCATGATTAAGTCAAAATTAAATATTTAAGTATGTAATAAATGYTATTATTTTAATTTATTGTATTAAAAATAACATAAGATTTCATAAAAATGATGGTATTCAATTTGAAATCAATGCCTTTGTATAATTAATGTTTCGTCTAACATTATATTACTAAGTGTAACGGCGTTATGAATAGGCAAATATACAACATGTACGCTTATCATGTTATTAAATTTCCAGGCGCTATAAGCCTGAATCTAAATATTTTACTTTCATAATTTCMTTTGATTAATTTTAATTAATTTTTCAATAACAATATTAATTTTTTTTAACAGAAMATTAATTATTATTATAAATTATTACTAGTTGRTTTTTTATTTGTATAATATATTGTAAAATTAAAAATGTTTAAAAAATATACTGTTATTTTGAACAGCATATTATATTACCTATTTTATTTTATGGTATCAAAAAATATTACTAAATTTAATCACTACGAATGTATATTAAAATTATATGTTGATAAACATTAAAAAATATATTTTTTTTATTGAAATCTTATTTTAATTTTATACAATATTTCGGTTATTGATCAGTTGCTCATTCACATATTAAATTCCACGTGCATTTGTTGACCACACGTAACAGTAGCGTATATAGAAATAATTTTTGGGGTGGGCTATAATATATATAGCGACTAACAATAATTATCTAGCACCTAGAGACTACAATATAGTTAACAGTTAAGACTGTAATTTCGGGAGGGGCTGCAGCCCACTAGGCCCCCCCCCCCCTTATATACGCCACTGACACGTAATATATACACATTATACACTTATATATATGTATTTTTAATTTCACCTTTTAATGTGCTGCTAACTGTGTTTGGCTCTTGAGGTCTCCCGAAAACACTAACTACGTCACACACGAGTACGATCGATAACAAAACCAACCGACGGTTGATTCTTCTCATTTTAATACCACCGATCTGAAAAAAAAAAATGTCAGTGAATTGTGTACACAATTGTATCCTAAATACATTTTTTTACATTTCTATTCATCTATTTTATGTATGAATTCTTAAACACGTATAAAAATATAATATTGTACTTCGTATAATATATAATTTAGGTTGTATATTATAATATTATTACTGATAATTATWTATTAGGATTGTCGTCAGAGTGTGAATTTTTCTCTCAATATTTTATCATCTCCAATATCATTACCATTACCATATTTCAGTATATATATATTTTTTTATCTTTTATACTAAAAAAATTAAACATAATGTAACAAACATTTTATTTAAAATAAATTTCATATTCGTTGATATTATTCTAATATAATAAAAATATGAATGTATCATAATTTACGTCCCTAGTCTAGGTACTAACTACTAATATTATTTATTGTATTGTCTTTACTAGTTATATTTTTTCTATAGTGTGCTCTTTTTACGCCGTAAGTGATCACACGAATTTCAAATAAAATGTGGAGCTTACCACATAACTTTTAATTTATTCTAGAAATAGACATAAATTATAAATTTAAGAAACAAAATTCAATAATGTTATATYAACTATGTCAGCCCAAGAATAATAATATGAAGTAAACCTAAATAATTCATTATTAATACAAGGTATATAAATAACAAAAATTTCGTGCAGCAAATAACGAATTTGGAGATGATATAAAGAGTTATCCAGTTAAATATATAATATGTAAAATAATGGTGAAGAGGTTGCTTATACTCATAATGAGTGCAAATCGAGAAATATGGTATAGGATACTAAATAGATTGACCTGTTGGGTGAGAGGGCTTATAATTATATTAAAATTAGAATAAATTAATATCGATGTTCTTAAAATCTATAAATTTTTTTCTTAATTGTACTATAGGGATATGAGGCACTAAGAGATATATATTATTATATTATATTACATTTGAGTAACAGTAATATCTTAAGTTTTATGCGATTAAAATATTGAAGTTGACAATGGTACTGTAGTCTGTACTACTGTAAAGCAACTCATTAAGGTAACCTATATTATCATCTATACCAAATCACAACATCTTACTATATTAATTATTAGATTCATCATTAAGATACTCAACTTAGAATTTCAACTACCTATCATTTTTTATATATTTCCAAATCTAAAAAAAATATATAGGATGATCACATTTATTGTTAATAAAATAAGATTATAGTTTAATTATAACAACGCAATTGATTTACTTTAATTTTATCTTATTCAATTTTTTAATGTGTTTACCGTAAAATTGGGTTATTAGGACAGATAAAATAATATTAAATTACTATTTCTTTCATGGATGTTACTAACATGCATTATCTACTAAACAATTTTTTTTTGATTTGAATTGTGTCCTGATTGATTTCATAAAAAATAGTTACTGATATTCCCTTACTATAATAATAAATACCTAACATCGTTATAGTTTCTTAAAATATTAGATTGATAATTTTCTAGGAAAAATGAATTTTAAATTAATTGTAGGTACCTACATAAAATATATCGTATTTGTACTTGGAACTTTTAATTAAAGGTGGATTCATTAAAATTCAATATAAATAATTTTAATAACTGCAGTGAATAAATAATGTCATATTCAATAGTTTATAATTAAATTAATTTACGATAAATTATTATATTGGTGAAAACATAAATAATATTAAGTCGAATACTACCATCATAATTGTACGTGTTTAGATACTTTGACATTTGATTACTGCTACATAGGTGATAGGAATTAGCGAAACCACATTGTTTGTTTTTTATTTAAAAACTGTTAAAAATTATTATATTATAATAATTATTTCTATTTTATTGTGTAATAATTTAAAAGTTTTCATTGCAATTGTATAACTTTATATTACACATATAGAGCCATATTGGAACTAAATTTATTTGTATTTATTAACGAAAACATTTTAAGCTTTTAATGGCGTTAAAGCTCATGTAAGTTATAACTTGTAATAATAATATAATTTCAATCGCTTGACGATAGATATGATAATATATTGGTTATAGGTAAGTGTGTTTTACTCATTTGAACATGATGGTTGACGTGCCACATGTATTAGGTATTCAGAGACGTTATGGTCCAAAATAACGTTTGCTGCGCATAATAATACAAAATCATTTGAATCAAAAACATTGACAAATTGATCAATTTTTACTATTACAACAATAACTCTGAAGCATACGAGTGGTACGCGTGTTTGTGAGTGTACATTTTACAGGTCCTGCTGGCCACCTAATGTGTCGGYAATAAAACACAAAACCCATTGGTCTTTAATAAATGTTAAACATTTTCTTTGGAGGGAGATGGCGTGCTGGTCGCTGGTGAGGTGGAGCGTTTCAAAGGCATACTCCAACAACATGACCGCACATTAGTGTGACGTTTTCACGTGGTTTGCCGCCTACAGAAATTAACAGTTACAACGGAGAGCTACCGTTCACTAGATGATGATCATAAAAATAATAATAATAATACCTATCTAAATTGTTTCGTTATTGTCGTTGTCCCGCGGTCGTGACAGAAATATAAGAAAGGCCGTTAGACACTACATATAACCGCAATGTTCATATTACACGGCTGACTCCCCGGGGTAGATAGCTTAAAATCTTCAAGCTATACGTTGATATGATGAATATTATAGTTTTTCTGCGCACATATATGAATAATAATAATATGACGACAATATTTGAAAGCCATTTCGTATAAGTCAGTTGTTTGTTTTAAAAAGCCGAGAGCAAAAAATAAAATATAATATCCGCACGATTGATATATATATATATATATATAATAATGAATGTCAGTAGATACTTATAATTAGTACAATATATAATATACAGTTGTGGCCTGTAAGTAAACAATCATACGTCGAAATGGCTTTGATGACACAGGCGATGGATCAAACTAATATATAATAATATAAAAACGTATCATGCATAACAATAAATAAAGTTTTGCGTTTTAAAATTTAATAGGAACTCAAAGTGCGTATCTTCGGATTATAAGTTAGAAATTAACAATCGAAACGATTTTCGTGAGATATTAAACAGTAAAAGTTGGAACCCATCCATCTAAACAAGCATATTTTCCTCAAATTTTTAGTATTGATCGATAAATGTGTGTTGTTTCTTATTGGCTCATCTAGGATTTGCTTATTTATTGTATTAAGTGAAAAAGTTTTTATTCTTATAATAATAAGATAATTTTGAACTAATAACCTGTTTTTATTGTCCCTATCCTGCGAGTTTTAGGCACTACTTACTATTGTAACGCRATTAGTATATTTTCCTCAAATCATTTTGAAATGAGGTACATAGGTAMTATTGTTAATTTTATTATCGTTATCATCATTACAACTTATCCAGGACAGGTGTGTCTGATTTATGATTTTCATTATAGCATGTATTTTTGGTATTAGTTTAAATAAAAAGGTTTATTCGTCAGGATGATTACACCAATTTATTCATTTTATACGCCTTCTCAACTTGTTATATGATCGATAGAATTACGGTTGAAGACACCTGTATTGAATCGTTACAAGGATAAGCTTGGGATAGAGTGTAGTAATAATATTGTTATGAATCGAATTCATTTAGTTTTCACTGAATCGTATTTACGTGGGCACCTACGCGTCATTCTTACACGACGAAGCAAGTAATATAAATATATATTACAGTTATTATATTATATACAATTTGCGACGTTTGCATATGCGTAGGTATTTGTATGTATGAAAGATTTGGATGGTTTTAAATATTTGTAAGTAAATATGATAATTTTTGGTTGGGTAGAATAATATTCTTGGCAAGTTTCTATGCGCTCTTCGTTTCGTCTATATCAGTGTCATGAAATAATTCCAATTAAAACGTTTATCCTAAAAAATCATTGTTTAACAATATTATATTATACACTGTATATTACGTTTTCAAAAAAATCTCAAGTTGTGATAATGTGATCATTGACAAATTTGGCTAAGCAGTATTTATTTATGTTATTTAAACAGGCTAATAACCCAATACATGTTTTATAATATGTGTATAATAATAAGTGAGATTATATATAAATTATAATGAGTAACAGTATAAATATCAAGAAAAACTGCAGAAGAAAAATAATAATCTAATAATTTGAATATAATAGAAACATAAATGTAACTACTGATAGTATCTATTATTATAATTACAAAAAGAATCAATAGAGTGAAAATTGAAAACATAAATTTGTGTATTATTAGGTAGTGAATCTAGTGGATCTATTTAAAGGTATATTTATTATTTAGTTGGTTCTGTAGAAAATCTAAAAAATATATTTTTATTTAATTATTTCCAAAAAGAATAAAGATAGTCATTTCGTAGAGCTTATTTTTCTATACATATTGACGTTTTAAAATGTTATTTTTATTAATTTCCTGATTTTTAATATTTTTTCTAGTTTTGAAGAAATAAAATATGATTATATAACTAGGCACATGAAATCGTTCGGCCCGCCATACAAATATGTTGCACTCGCTTGGCGTTTTGTTTTACATGTTTGATAACCTTACGGTGTGTTAAATAATTCACAATTTTTCTCAWAACTATAAAAATAATTAAAAATCAGGAAATTAACGAAAATAAAATTTTGAAACGTCAATATTTTCAAAAAAATAAGCTCTATAAAATCCGATAGTGAATATTTGTAAATAATTAAATAATTAAATATGTTTTTAACTTTTTTACCAAAGCATAAAAATTAATTTGAAATAATCGTAATTCTTATCTTTGTGAGTCTTATTACAAAACCAGAATTTTGATATCTCCATTATTTCGAGAGATATCRCAATGGGTAAATCCTCGCGGGACATCCAGTATACCTATATTAAATATCATTATAATATTGTTTAATTTAAACGTGTTATCTAATTGAACTGTGTCTGATAAGTTTGCTTAAATTATCTACAGTAA